CCCTATCAATGATAAATGACCAACATTAAAAATTCTCCACATTTTACCGTATATACCCCAAAACAATCGTATTAAACGCGTATCTAATTAACGACTCGAATATTAATTGCGCAATACGAAACTGACACTGAGTATGAATAAAAATAAAAAATATTAAATAAATGAAACCAAAAAATACAACCGCAACGTCCCGCACATTTCCTGGATCACTCCTGTCGTCCTATCTCGACTGCGAGATCGAGTGGTCAATGATAAATTGCATTAAATCAGTGTAACAATAAAAGAATATCGATTAGGCTGTCATTAAGAGTATGATATATTAATAATCTGACAATCAGTAGCGATCATCTTCCCTTTTGGCCCAGATTATGATCCAACATTCTCTTCGGGGCCAACGCAAACAGGAGAATCAGGCATGCCATGAAAGGTACATAAAGCCTTTTGACAGGCGCTCATTTGTAATGTAGGCAAATACTAAAGGCAGCTCGAAGGGAAAGGAGGTGCTGAGGTAGCTAAAGGAGATACAGTAGATTAGAGAGGGGAACACGCGTAGTAACATAATTCTCTTTGGTAAATATATAACGTATATAAGGTGTACCTCTTTCTCTCAGTAACTCCGTCTACCTATTCCAGTTGACTATAGTCTCTGTTACGCTTTGCTCTTTCGAGACAGCGACTAGGAGCCCAGCGACGCGCTTGTAAATATACATCTAGTCACGTTGCGTAAATGAACACCAGGAGCGGAATTATAAGTCCGGGTGAGACCGTGGTAAGATTCCTCGAAGTGATCGGCCATTGGAAAATCAAGCCGCCGGTCGTTACTTTTGTGACGGCACGTGACAGACGCGATATCAAATGAGATAACGGAAAGGACTGTGGACGGGAGAGCCCTTTCGGCGATTGTCGTTACTCTACGTCGTGGATCGGAAGCAGTCAGCGACACCTATGGCACCGGTTCGCGCGCATGCGCACAAGTTCGCCCGCGAAAACAGACAGTTACTGGCGCGCATGCGCACCGCGCGCGAACCAGTATGCCTCGAGTCCACAACCCACGGGACTCGTACGCGGGCTTCGTGACGTGTCGCGCGTCGCCAACTTATGCACAGGCATTGTCTTTTTTTATTTTTAACCTCGTTTTCAATAACAGTACGTCCGGCAATGTCTTCGCGGAGTCGTAGTCGTTCGATAGGGAGAAAAGGATGAGGCGACGATTGTGGCGATTAAACTATCTAGAAAAAACTAGGAAACGCTATTTAGCCGCAGGAACTTCCTGTTTTCGTTAATCCGCGAGAGCCAAGCGTATCCGTTATTATCGTAAATGACTGTAAGGTAAGTAAAAACAAGGTCAAATCACAATGGCGAGTATCGTCTGCCTTATCGAGCGTATTTCCGTGACGTCGGTAACAAAGGAAGGTACGAAAACGACGATCCACGTAAATTTATTTCGTCTCGTCGGGAAATCGTAGAGAGGGCGAAGAACAATTTAGTCTCGTGCTACTACATAATGTGTACCGGGTGTAGCGGAATGATGGCGGAACCATTGGCTTTCACGAAATGTTCGAAAATGATGACCAGACGTTGGAATTTCGTCGAGGGCGAGAATTCAAATCGAAAGCCTCCGCCTTCGAAGGCCACGGCACGGGAACGGCCTCACCTAACCTAACAGCATCGCTCGGTGTTTACTATTTGTGGCTTATCATCGTTCCTACGACCGATGAGACATAGGAGATTCTGTATATATGCCACGCATACCAGAAGAGGCTAATGTGGAATAAATTAAACGACTCCTGACCGTTATTTCCACTATTAATCCGGCACGCCGCCAGTGTCCCTGGACAGAGAGGACCACCACGGCGTATCAAGTTCAATCGGCAAAAACGTATGTCGGGCGTGAAAAGAAATCACGAGAATATGAAAAACGAGAACGTTCGAATAAATTTCATTCCGCCATCGTTATACGAGGACAAATAAACAAGCCGAGACGAAAAGCCGGGATCACAGAGGGAAAAAAAAAGAGAAACGAAAGGGGAAGAGAGGAGGACCGAGGAATTCGGTGAAATCGAGATACGGACGAAAAAGAAATAAAAAAGAAAATGGGAGCACGCCTCGCACGACACCTTCCCTCCCGTCTCGCACGTGGCTAGACAAAAAAAAAATATCGTCCAGCGCTCAATGAAAACCAGACTGAATTTCAACCAGGGCAAATTCACATGCAGCTTGCAAGCTCGACGTAAGCTCGAAAGCCCAAAGAAATTTCGACAAGACCCTTTTTTTTTCCCCACCTTGTATACACGCCATAAGGATTCTCACCGTGCAGTCATTCGCTACGGCCATAAACTGTCTCGTTACGACGCCCCGATTGCCAGGACCTTGAGTTATCGATTGGCCCTCGTGTAAAGAGATGCAATGAAATATCAACGTCAAGTGCGTTCCTAAAGACATAAAAATTGTATCACGTCGAGCCTACCGACACGCATACCCATGTGAAAGCAATTTAATGGTATGACAACCCCCAGAGGTCCGTTCGACATTAACGCCATTAGAGAAACATATATTGGGTATACCTGAAATCGTGATAACAGGTACAAATAAACATTAGCACTGTGTAAAACGGTCCGCGCGTACATTACACAGGTGCCACCTTGGTACGCGTTTAATCGCGAAGCAGTCCCCTGGCGCGTGGATCGACGAACGTCGATCGTAGGCCACGTGGTCGTAGGTCCGGCAGCCCAAGGACCCACCGGGTCTCTCCCACGAGACCAAACGCATTGACACGTGCAAATTAAAGAACATCGAGTCGCGCTTTCTGGTTATGTGTAACTGGCGAGAAGCACAGAAGACGCCACCCAAACGAAACAATTAAACGGTACGGACGAGTGACTCCGGAGTCTAGTGCGTACAACAACTGGCAGCGTTAGCTGCTCGTAAAGAGGATAGCGGAGGAAGGGGGGTGGGGGATGGGGGGGAGGTCTCAATTGCTCAAACATTAAAATCAAGCAGCGCTTTATAATCGAGCGATTCTTAATCAGCACGTTAAAGTAAATAACGAGAGAACCGTGTGTCGCGCATGGTTTCCTTTCTAGAATAGCACCTGTACCGGGTATACCTATATACACGTATACCCAACCTAACGTCAAATATTTTTGAATTATAATCAGGTTTCGATAACGAACCTCAAAATTAATTGCATCTGGATATATGCAATACGCATATACGTAAGTGACGTGTGCAGTGTCACGCGTAAACCAACAGCCGATAAGATTGATGATTACAAGTAAAAAAAAAAAAAAAAAAAGTTAACAACTTCCTATAAGCAGATTAACAATAAAGGGGACAATGATACAGCAATAAAATTTTACTGAAAAGTCCCTGGACGAGGAATCGCGGAATGGATGAAAGCTCGGTGGAGGGGGAGGTTGTCGTACGAGAGAAAATATTTCATAAGTCTGCCACCATAGCGACTCGGTTCTTCCGCGTGTATTCGCGCAGCTGTATAAACGACGAATCGTATAAATTTATATCGGCGGGTACGAAGGGGAACAAAAGTAAGGAATGCCTTCTTTGTTCAGGCATCGTCGCGAACGATGACGAACCAGATGCGACTATACGTCACAACTATAATCAGAAAGTGCCCGCTTCAACTTGAAAATTGACATTCCTAACCCATTGATGCAAACGACGGTCGTAGCCGTCAAAATTTTCTTTCCAAGCTCGATTTAGAAGAGAAAAAAAAGTTTACAACTGATTCATTTCTTTTTTTTATTACACAGGCATGCCCCCGTCACGTGTTACGTTGAGCGAGCAGAGAGCTCACAATTATACAGATGGCAGAGGGTGGAAGGAAGCGGCAAGCTAAAGGGAAAGATGAGAAAGGAGGCGAAGGGGTGGGT